GCATCTATTTTAAGACTGTCTATTTGCGCCCATGACAAAATCAATTGGGACGGTTTGCTCATCAGTGACTGGTATCAGGGGGTTTACTGCAATATTTGCGTGGTAATTAAAATGACAGTAACAAAAATTAAATGATGGGCACAAAATTCCCGTTCAGAGAATTGGACGAAGATGAGTGTAAAAGATAGGAATATGGTAGTACAGTTTTGTCTGTGTGTGTGTGCTAACTGAGCCGATGGACTACTTATTGTTGGTATGACTTGATGCGATAAGCGGTTGAACACAATCACGTCAGTAATAACCTATTCACATCTGATGAGAGGATGCGTCAACAAAATAGGGCACATATGTATGATGAATTACCAGTTCAAGCGGATCAATTGTGACATCGCTTCAAGACAAGAAGCAATTCTCTCTTGATGCTCTATCAAATTAATAACAGTCAGTGTGAATCACTTAACTGTAATCCACAAATTTGTATTCAGGTTTGTAATTGCAAATAGATAGAGTTGTTTTGGTTCAGAAATAAACGCTTATATATTGATAAAATCATATTGAATATTCTTAATAAATATATTTCAATTGCGATTTATAAAAATATCTTTCAAAATCCGTTTTTTGTGGAATCAAACAGAAACGAAATCCGCATTAAAGAGGTATCTATTTGGAATAACTTTCTACAAGTAGTCTGAAAGTTAGTTTGAACTATAGCTATGTGCCATATATTGTTTTTGCTACAATTCTGAAGATAAAAACATCAGTTTGCACTAGCGTGCCTCATTGTATATTGAAGGTCACATTACTCTTTTTATATTTCAACATGAATTAAATTTTAAACCGATAAATACCAAACAACTAACTCTTCAATTTTGGAATACTTAAAACATTTAAGATGTCACTCTCCGATATAGCCGACTGGCCAAGAATCGAAGCCCTTGCTGAGTTTAGACTACGTACCCGACATGATTGCTTGACAAACACCTTCACAGATTGGGAGAATACACTCAACCCACATGCCCTCTATGTAACCTACATGAGGAAATGGAGAAGACCCACCTGATTCGGTGTCCAGCCCTAAAGACAAGGACGGAAAGCCAGAGATACTGGAAAGCAGGAAGATGGCTAATGAACTGCTATAGATGTGCCCCCCACCCTTAGGGGAAGCTGAAGTTTAAAGCTTAAGGGCTAATGATAAATATCATAAAGCGTGCCATTTGAAATAAATAAATGAATCATGAAATGAGTGTTCTCGAATTCTTCCTAGTTACATTTAGAACTATATTGGAGTGCTACACAAATTGGATTTTGCTAAATCCCATATCATGCAATGGCTCTCGGAAATAGCATTCACATCGAGTCCTTCAATAGTTAAGAGAACAAATTATCGTTGTTTGCCCAGTTACCAAGAGACAAGAGAATATTAAATAGCTATACCACTTTATTTTACAAAGAAATTATTTTAATTAAGTAAAACGGGAAATTTTCAAACTGTATTAATTTGTCTTTCACAATCATGCATTTCATTATCCAACATCATCATACTGAAGCCTTCCATAATGTGTCGTTTATACATCTGAAAAAACAAATTCAACCACTTTGGAGAACATCTCTTCAATTGATGAGACTTCTCAAATTATTTTTTTCAAATCAATATGTTTGTTTCACATTATCGCTTTCTTCAACATATTTCATTCAGATCCAAACAACATTTTGAAATAACGAACAGAAGATGTCCAAACAAATTATTGAAACTTTCACATTGAATGCGGGTCTAAAGAGCACTTTATTAGGGTAGAAATATTAAACTTTAATTCCACTTTTATCAAAGACAAATAAAATAGCTGACATGTGTTCCACGCTTCTATAGACTAGATTTAATTATTTTTAAAATGTTTCCAAGGCCACTCTCTTTTGCAACTGATAAGTAATGCATTGAATGCTCAAATGGGTTTATTTAATAACAAATCGGATTGGCTACTTACTCAAAGTAAAACATATTTATGCGAAGCTACCAAATGCGCAAAATTACATATGAATTTTGCAATCAAAATGTCACGTGAGCGTCAAAGTGAAATACACGAACGAAATCGCGGTATATACCTTGGAATCGTCACAATGTTCTATTTGATGGACATAGTAAGTATAAAATATTTCCTTTCGTACACAATTTCGTTCCTTTAGGCATCTGGTCTACTGCAAATTTTGTACAGTTCATTTCTCCTTTATACTAATTACGCCGCTGCTATATTTCCTGTTCTTCCCTATGTATTGCTATGTTCTGGGATTCTTGCATTTATTTCGCTTGCATTTGGTCTACTCTATCAATTCACCACAAATATGGTCTTCGCCGTGATTGTAATTACCTAGATTACCTTCATTTATTCTTTGTAGCGCATTGTGCTCATCACTCTATTTATCGGTATGGAGCCCATCCTTGGAACCCAGCTAATAAGTCCCCTTCGTCATACAACAATTGGTGCTGTCATTATCAGTCTTGGAATATTGAGATTCGTAACACTAATCCTTGGGGTGTGCATAGTAAAATATTATAAATGCCTCGATGAAACCTCATATTCATCATGAACTATTCAATTTTGACTTTTCAATAAACCACGAATATTTGCAAGTTTTCAAAAAAGAAAAGACTACCATTTTCAATTATTTTTTTTACACATTAGTACCTTTGTATTCCTATTTGTATTGGAGGAATAGTTTTTTGATCTTCTTTGGTTTAAAATTCAACTTAAAAATTTCGACTGCATAAGATTCGTCCACGAGATCTCGAATTGAGAAAAAATGGGCCCAGTAACTCATGGTGATATTCGCTCAACGCTACTTGTAGAAACTTATGCCAAATAGATACCTCTTAAGGGCGGGTTTTGTTTCCGTATGATCGCACAAAAATGGATTTTGAAAGACATCTTTATAAATCGCACTTAAAATATATTTATCAAGAATATTCAATACGATTCAATCAATATATAAGCGTTTGTTACTGAAGCAAAAACAACTTTATTTATTTGCAATTGCAGAAATCTGCACACGTTTGTGAAATACAGTCAAGTGATGTACAATGACTATTAGCAATTTTGGCAGATCATCAGGAGAGAATTGCTTCCTGTCTTTAGAATGATGTCACAATTGATCCGCTTGAATTGGTAATTCATCATACATATGTGGCCATATTTTGTTGACGCATCCTCTTATCAAGTGTGAACAGGTCATAATTGATTAGATCGTGTACAACCGCTTATCGCATCAAGTTATAACAACAATAAGTAGTCCATTGACTCAGTTGTACTACCATATCCCCACCTTTTACATTCCTCTTCGTTCAATTCTCTGAAAGTGAATTTTGTGCCAATCATTGAATTTTTGATACTTTCATTTTAATTCGTACGCAAAAATTGCAGTAAATCCATTGATGGCAATCATTGAAGGCAAAACGTCTCAATTGATATTGTCATGGGCGCAAATAGACAGTCTTGAAATAGATACGCTTGTAAGCAATTCATGCTGCTCATTAAAAGTGATCAGTGCTCTCCTGCAGATCGTGATGACCTAATTTCGTTGTTTCCAATCACCAATTAATTGGTCAATGTTGGGTCGTATCTGTTCGTTAGACGCATTCCATTCTCTGCTCGAAACAAATACACTTCCGATTTTACAGTTGGTCCATTGAGCAGACTCATTCCGAACAAGATATTTTCATATGAAATTTTCAAATTCATACTAAATACACACTAAGAAAGAATAAAGGCACATGAACGTTTCTTCAAGTTTAATACTTTTAATAATTATTGATCTTTCACATTTTGTCAACTGTAGGCTTTTAAATTTTTGAAACTTATGCTGCTTTATTGAATGATTTTCCTTAAAATTAAATTTCTTCCAAACGAGTAATTATTTTTTCCAGCATATATGAATGCACTCTAAAAATTACACACAAAATCATTCTGCTAGTTACATAAATTTAAGTAGTCAGGTTGTTCAATACTTGTTGAACTTGAAACTGAAATAACAATCGAAAGGTCCTCTAATTTAATTTTTTTGGCCTTTGTCGAGACACAGTTTTTTAAAAGCTTTCTCTGGAATAAAATGAGAACTTCCTTTGCCAATTCACAAACTACTTATAAGCAGTATTAATATCAGCACAAATTGTGCTAACCGTACGGAGTAAAAAAGACATTTCCTCAATAATATTAAGGAATTAAAGCTCCTATTCAGTGCATTTCATCACTCTCACGACTAAGTTTTATTTCTCGTTAAAGCATGTTGGGTATCTTACGCTGGTCATGGAACCCTTGACGAAAAGTTCAGCTATTAGATAACAAACTATTTCTAATCTCTTTCAAATTTGAACGCATGTAGATAACCCAATCATCATGGTCTTGCTATAAGACAAACAATATTGATGCTCTTCGTACCGTGGTTGCAAAGATTAAGGCAACTTAGATCTCAAGGAAATTCACAAAATTCAGTTTCTCATCAACTTCGCTGAGTAAGATATCATATCAAGTCGACCTCTTCTCAGTCGGTTGGGATGAGCATCGTCTAGCTTCAAATCAAATGAAGGAAAGGGGCTTAATTGACAGCTATACAATATTGCAGACAGAAAACAGTATGTTTCGTCAGATCTACCCTTACAAAACGTGTACCATTCAAACCAAACCCGAAAAGTATCAAGACACCGAATTTATTATTTGTGAAAGTACATTATGACTTGTGCGTTGAAAGCAAGTTATTTATACACTTAGATAGGTTACTTACCATGATGAAATAAGGTCTAAATTTGTGACTCATAAGAGCTTGCCAAGTTAATTTTCATTAACGATGTACTGCTATCTGATTTAAAATTGCTCAATTGATCATAACACTCAGCAGGCGTATTTTCTATTTGTCTGTAGATTTCTTGAGATTTGCCAAGTTCCAGTCAAGACCTCACCTGCACTCTTGCAAAGATCCATGCAAGCATCATTTACTCCATTTTTACAAAAATGCTTACCAATTATAGTCTATTTATGTTCACTTAAATGTACTCCAAGTTTCAGTTTTATCTGGCCAGAAAGTTTTCTCTGCCAAAGCAACTACTATATTGGAGAGCTTGGCAAACTTGTGTTTGAATTTTATTCGGAATGTTTATCTACTTAATTTCGAGTATCTTGAGTTATTCGCAAAGGGGTTGCTCGATCGATTGATATTAAATATAACAACACTACGAATTGAAAAAAGAATTATTACCGCTACAAACACTTTTAAGACTACGCATTCTGAAGAGAGATTGATATGTTTTGCAGAATGTGAATATTACGTAACAGATCTATTATTATTGCTAAAAATAGTGACTTTGAAATTAATATGCCTGATCGTTTTGGTTTAATTTATAATGCTAGTTTATAAAGTGGGCTTAAATAATCACCATTATAAGTAACAGGTTTTAATGTTAATTTTTGAAAATAAGTATATTTCATAATTATTAGCCCAAATTTTAGTTTTTAAACGAATAATTTAAACTTAAGTTAAGTGGACACCAAGGAAAGCTTATGTTAATGAAAACTTCAATTAGATTTCAAGACTGTTCAAAAGTAAGTTCTCTGTCTCCTTGTGGAAAATTTCTTCCAGCCAATATGGCAATTTGATATATTTCATTTGGTTACGATTGAATATTTAGCAATTTATTCTAACGTTAGGAAAGTAATATAATGTTTACCTCTAAGTAAGATAAAATTTACATACTAATTTATAAAACCGAATAAGAAATTCGACAGTTGCATACTAATAAGCTCAAAGAATTGAAAAGCATAGTGTGAACAATTCTTGAAAAAAAGTGAAAAAGATAATGCGAATACTGTGGAAGTGGCCAAATATAACATATAATGGGATCATGGTAGTGTGAGGTCAGAATTAAACTGTCAGTGGATAGATTTTTTGCATTATGAGTATACGCTAACCAGGGTGAACAACGTGGAGGTAAGTCTATCGCGCACCCCAAAATAATGGCAGTTTGGAAATCAGGTGAAATATGTATTGTTTGACTTAAATTGATCCCTCACGCTATTATGAACGCTGCTCACATTTGTGAATATACGTGTTGTTTTTGCATTCTCCACATATGAACCTTATTAATGTATATTATTTGACTTATTAAAGAGGGATTTAGGAGACAGAAATATTAATAAATAGTTGGACCACTATTATTTTAAATGTTTGCAAATATTGACTGTTGAGAAATTAATCATGATGTATTTTATTTGATCATAGTTAATCACATTCAACTATTGCTAACTTTAAAATGAAATACAACATGTACTAACTGATTCGGTTAATATATATTCAATAAGTTGTAAAATTAGATAAGAAAACGTCATAATTGTTTGTTAATTTGATTAAAAAATTTGCTAGCTAGAAAAAACAGTTTTTCTAATGCTCTAAAAAAGTCCTTATAGAATTAATGTCCACGTGCAATCATTCATGTTTTATTGACCGAATCAGTGTTGTTTACAATTTATAAATGTCAATTCTCTCCAAAGCTAAAACTAATCCATAGATAAAGGAGTAATTTTAAGAGAATCAATAGTTCGGCAAATCCGCTAAAGCTAACAATGACGGCACCAACTATAGCTTGGTCGAGTTGAATTATAACCAGGATTCCTAATGCAATCTCTGCAAATCGGCGTTAAAATAATCAAAACAGCGAACTTTAAGGAAAAAATGGAAAAATACGATTTAATTACAATGACATAGGCTACACAATTGCCCTTTAGGTAACCACGAAACATAATGAAGAAGACAATAAAGACAACGATTCCTGAAACGAGCAGAAGATAACAAAGAACAGGTGATTTTGTGGTGTTTTTAAGTAATATAAAGAGAATCATGCTGTAAACGCTCGTATATTATATTAAATTATAAGTGTACTTAAGTATTTATCGCTCACATTGGTAAAAATATTGATAACTTGCACATTTATGTGGGCAAAGAAACACATGTTTTTTTCGTTCTAGTATCCTCCTGTGACATTTCGATGATAAATTAATATATGCGTTTGTATGATTGTAGTCCAATATAAATTGGAACTCTTTTGTCTAATAAACCAATCGGATGTGGGATTTAATTAGCGCTTTCTATCCACTTGCCATATCTGTCTGAGCACTGTCGTAATGGGGAATGATGATTTTCAGTTTGCCCTCCAAGACGATGTATGAAATATCATGGGGTGAGATAAATGTATTTCACCCTACATGTCCTAACCATCAGGCATAACATTGAAATTTGCTCTGAATACATTGAAATGTAATAAAATGCATTGGTATTATTGGGATAATATCTTGACGTCTAACCTTTCGGACTAATCACGCTGTGAATAGCTTGATATGTCACTGTTACTTTAGGGCTCCAGAAGTTCTAATTAAATTAAAGTTCTGACCTTAATCAGCTAAATTACTCTTCACACTACCGCACTTTCATCTACTTTGACTGAGGTATGGTCGATAAACCCATTTGATTTCAATAGTGCGTGGCTCACAGTTAAATCCTCATATCCACATGGATTAAAAGGAGTAAAAATTTTTCTTTTCATAGGTAGGAAGATTACAGCAAAGCTTGCCGTTTCTGGTCTGACTATTTGCTCAGCTTTTCAAAAACACATTTTTTCAAAATATATTTTATCGCATCAATCAAATGTCATTGTTCCTATAGAAAAACAGATTTAAGACAATTCTTATAGCTCTACAATGTAATAAAATTAACATAAATGTACATATTTAAGCAGTTTAAAAACTTTTCATATTTTTCTATCCTAAAGTCAAAATTACGTATTTGATTTCCCAACAATTTTAGCACTCTGTAAAATCGTTAGAACTTAACATGGATGTACTTTTAAACAAACTTCATTTTGCCGTTTTTGCTGTGAATTAAGTATCAGCTGCCAATCGGTTAGAAGAAAATTGTCAGATTCAGCTACCCAAGCACGCTGAAGGACTTAGCAACAAATTGCGATCAAACAGTTTTTCTCATTTTTCGGGCAACTTAGTGTGCGAACACTCAGATATTGAGCTTGTTGCTGTATATGGCATTACCATAAAGTAAAAACATCATTTATACCCATCCGTAATACCCATTTTTGAAATTATTAAATCTGCCATTAAAACAAGTTGACCAATAATGATTTGTGAAATGCAGATCCAAGACTAAGAACAACACAGAAATGAGGCTAAGCCAGTAATAGCGTTGAATAATCAGAGGGCTATAGGTATTCAAAACACATAATCAACCATCATCAATAAATTTACATCGAATGAATCATCATACAATTGTCAATGTTTAAAGATTTCGTGAAAAAATGCATTTTCTCAATAGGGGAAAGGTTATTAAAAGATAAAGCATGGAAAAGGTGGATTAAATGACTAATATGTCATTGAGTCATTCGTTTCACAAATAAATACTAGACTCTAATTTGCCAGGAGTAAATCCCAGTGAGGATGAAAAGAGTTTATACAAAAAATAGTGAGGCTGATATGAAGATTTTATACCTGTATATAGGTTGAAGCTTTGAAATGGCCATGATAATAGTATGCTGGAGTGAGAAATGTTGTATTAATTTATTAATAATGAATGAAGAAAAGAAATTGCGGTAATCTTTGATTGTAAATTTGCCCCACCAAAAATATTACTAAAAAGAACTAGTGAAATAGGTCGTCATAATAATTCTTTATAAAGTTGATGAAGTGTACAAGCATGATTTTTTTGCGAAAATAAGTAAATTTTCATTCAAACTTTGGAGTTAATTAGTGGTGGCAATTTCTGCAAGCCATATATTTCTAATGCTGAAATTGTAAAGTGAAATTAAACAATCTTGATTTCGGTTTGTCTCAAGTCCATTAGAAACTGCAATCAGACAGTTTAATTGTATCGGCATCGGTCTTCTTGCAAAACTCACTTGAACTGAATTTACTGAGATAATTCAAACCCATTTTGGAGACACCTTAGTTTTTAGATGATAGAGTTTATTATTAGACGAGAATAATTCTCTCTACTTATTAATGAATAATACTATGCAATATTGAGAATGCAGTTAAGGTTTCTACTTCATCGGTCATCTGGTTTGCCAATGGGTCAGGAGAGAATTACGGCGGGCAGCAAAGTTCTGCTGCAATTTTCATCTTATTTACTTGCAAAGTAGTTCATTACAACCACGTGATTCAATTTCACTGACAGGTCCTCTCTGTGCATGAAAACAAGCCATTGCTGCTCGACCGCTTATCACGATACTAAATACAATTATGCAATAATTAATCAATATTTCTTAAAATTGGCACTAACAGTCAAAAACAATTTTGGTGCATCATTCACGCATTTGCTCTGAATTGACATAGTTCGCAAAAACGGCTGATTTAATTTTCTCAATGACGCCCGTTGGATCCGCTATTTATCAAATCTGTAGCGGATTGCTACTT